AAAAAAAAAAAAAAAAAAAAAAAAAAATGAAATTTAAGATGAATTCTCAAAGTAGCATATTGAATAAAAAATCCAAAGCAAAGCCATGAAAGCTCATGCTTAAAGCAGACAATATCATATCATTGTAGAGAGTCACAAAAGTACTGTGAGCAAGCCTGAAAGGAATAAATGAAAGTAAACATGTTAGTAACAGAACCTTCTTCAAAAAGGTCTAGGGGATAAGCTACATAAGTAATATATTGATTTTCTTTTCCAAGAACCGGCTCGATTTCATAGCATCGTCCTTTGTAACGATCAAGACTGGTAAGCCCATCGGTTCACACAGTTGTCCATGTACTAGTGGAAGATTCAGCAACTACCTGCTTCCTTAGAGAAAACTAGAGAAAGACTACTTACTATTTCCAGAGAGTTGAGTCTTGTTTTATTATCGAGGAATATTAGTGTGAAGAGTCAATAGTTGTATTACTAATTATCCAATTTCATGGTTCAATTTAATAAAACAAACTTTAAGAATAGGTCGGACTCGATAGCCAAGTCGGGTCATCAATTACTAGTAGGTTTAGGTACCGGCTCACTATCAATAATGAACCTACTGATTGATTTGACGATTGAGTTGAACTCCCTCGAGAAGCGAGTAAAAATGAAATAGATAGGAGCATCGAAACTATTCAAGTCCTGGATTGGACTCCAGAATTCGGCAATTTCGATGTCGGGGAGCAGAGTAACATCAGAAACGAATCAACAGAGATCATCGGAACGAATCTAGAGACGAAAGTTTCGAATCATGAAAGATTGGAATCTCGCAGAAGAAGAAACTAATTGAAATTTGTAAGAAGAGAAATCGGAAGCAGAAGAAGACACGGCAGAACTTCAATAAAGAATTCGGGAAAAGAAAATGTCGAAGGTCGAATTTCAGAAAGTGTTCATTCATTCTATGCAAACCGCTGTTTTCATACAGTACAAGATCAAGGAATACACGCTCTAACTTCTGTTTGGTTGCCGAGAAAGTGCATCAAAATGATTAAAATATAAAGAATCTTCGATGTATTTTGATAAACAAGAGAAGTGAACTGTATAGAGACAAAAGTTTCAGCAGTTGATAATCTCAATTCTGCAAATCCTCTAAGGTTTTCTAAATCGTCCTACTCAAGAAAAGGCAACAAGAACAAGAGATTGGAATCATCCCCGTTAACTTCCACTATTTTTTCGCGGAGCAGAGAAAAACCAAAAATCAATGAAGTCAGAAGCATGAGTTGAAGAATTACCTCCTTATGATTCTCCATGAGATTGATCTCAATTCCTTCGAAAGTTCGTTTGAATAGCTGGGAAATACAGGCCAGAGAGCGAGAGAGTTCTTTTTTTTCAACCAAAACTCAACAGAGTAGTGGACTGAAAAACAACGGAAGCTACTAGACCCAGTATTAGTAAGTGTTTTAAAATTATGAGGTTGACGTGTTTTATAATTGTGAAGCTGACAATAATTCGTAATAGGCTAAAGAGAACAATATCTACTCTCAGTGAACTCGATCCATAATGGATCATTAAATTGATAGGTTAAAAATAACCGTACGTTTTCATAAGGGATTCATATCAATAAATTTAATGAACTTGTATAATTTACTTGAGCTTTATTGAATTAAAATAAATAATTATTTATAGATTTAGTTAGTTTTAAGATGGAGCCAATCATCTTTAATTTATTATTAATTTCTAAATATACATTTTATCTTTATCATTTATCAACTAATTTAAAGGCCTTAAAATTTTAAATATAATATTTTTTATTCAAAGCACATTTAATTTAAACACTTCAAATTAAAACCCATATTAACTCTAAATCATAAATTCATATCTTTATTTTTTTTTTATATTTACTTTTTCAGTTAAAGTGAAATAATCACAACTTATTGCAACTGCTATGAATGTATGGTACTTCTTTTAATCCATATTATTTCTAATCAGTACTCCATTTTTGTAGTCTTTAATTTGATTTTTTTTTTNTTTTTTTTTTTTTTTTTTTTTTTTTTTTTTTTTTTTTTTTTTTTTTTTTTAGTAACTTGTGACATTTTCAAGCAATGAATTTACCATTAAAGTATCATATAATAATGCTTAATATAACTCATATTATTGCAAGTACTAATCCAACTTATTTTCAAATTAATCTAATTGATTTAATTTTCAAGCAAAAACCATCTAAAAATTCAAAGAGAAAGAAACGAAAAATTCAACAAAAAATCATTATCCCTAAGAAATTAAACCAAAAACAACTCCTGTTTACACCAAGAAACATTTTACTATTTCATCAATACTGAGTTTCATCAAAAATGTTTTAGAATTTTATAAATGAATTCGAATCGAAAATTTAAATCTCGAAAGAGTTAGTAAAAATAGATTCAAACTCTAAGCAACCCAACATAAAATCAGATGGATAAAATAGTCTATTTTAAAAGATTCATTCATGCAGGCTCTAACCAGTTCTAATACAAACCAAACCAAAAGACATTTATAAGGCTATTCAGGTGAATGCCATTACTGGCTTGTTCTATCCCTACATCCACATGTGACATGTGAACCAACTTCAAAACAGAGGTTCTCAAAAGGAATATCTATGCGTCAGAAAATGCTGAATGAAATACACAAAACCAAGACACTATAAACATGTTAGTAAGATAGTCATGCTCTTCAGACATTTCTATGACTAAGAGCAATCCACTGATCCAAAAATTGTGACTAAATCGACCTTCATGCTCTTCAGACATTTCTACGACTAAGAGCAATCCACTGATCCAAAAATTGCAACTAAATCGACCTTCATGCTCTTCAGACATTTCTACGACTACGAGCAATCCACTGATCCAAAAACTGCAACTAAATCGAGATTCATGCTCCTCAGATGTTTCTATGACTAAGAGCAATCCACAGATCCAAAAGCTGTGACTAAATCAACATTCATGTTCTTCAGACATTTCTACGACTATGAGCAATCTAAAGATCCAAAAACTGTGACTAAACCGAAAACTAAATGCCGCAACATACTAGATAATGTAAGATTTGAATTGAGAGTATTAAAGTGGTTAAAACAGATGAATACAAGGAAATGGACACGAATCACTGTCAAGCAACCCATTTTTTTCCTCAAGACCTATGAACTTTTCTGACTAGCTTTTAGAAATTGCAAGCCCACAAGACATTGATATACCTACACACACAGTCTATCCCAAGATAATAAAAAAATATATATATACAACAATTGCTAGGATTAAACTGCACCAGTCATGCCTCCTACCCTTGAATTATAAACCATATTGAGATAGAAAAAAGCAAAAAAATCAAAGAAGTTCACTCAGCAAATCAAAGAACACCACAAATTAAAATTCAACAAAAAAAAAAGGAAAAATTATCTCATGAAAAATATTGAAGCAAGTATGTTCTTCATAAGATTGAAAGTATGAAGATGCTTACACATAAAAAGGATTTGAATGGTGCAGGCGAACTTGATGAGAAAAAGTGATAACAAGAAAAGAAAAGGAGAACAATCACTTTTACCAGATGGACAAGTCTTGACGTAATCACTTCAACGAGATTAATGACCTAGTATTATATGTTATAAAGGAAATGATAATGAACTCAATAAACCCATTGATTTAAAATCTATGTCTAATAGACCTAAAGTCAACACTCTAACTTAGTAAATTCAAAAGTTTAAAGTACTACTGTTTCTATTTTTTTTAAATGTAGATAACATATAACCCTAATAGCATCCTAGTGAAAACATACAAAATGAAAAAATAAATGATTTTTAGTATAAGATAGCACCGATCCCTCAGAGCCTTTGGCGCTGTAAAAGAAACTCTAGGCTTTACTAAGAAAAAAAATACAAGAATGAAAATACCTTACGAAGGAGACAACCTGCAAAATAGAAGCCCTTCATTCCAACCGTGTAACCTGATTAGATTAATATTAACTATCATATGCAAACCACAAACTCATAGCATGAACAATATGTGATCCAGACCTCAGCTGGCCCACACGTAAAACCAATATAAAAAGCTCAATGGAAATTGAAATTTGTGGATCAAAGGACAGTGTGATACATGTTTTAAAATCAGAAACCTTTCAAGAAAAATAACGATAGCTTCTAGAATCAACTCTTCCACAAGGAAGAAAAGATGTGAAGGGGATGAACCATGAAAATGATTTGGATAAGTAGATTCTCAGACTAGGATTTTAATGCCAAAGGTAAAAAATAAAACTAAAACAACCCACGTTTTACAGTTTCCCAAAGCATAAAAAGAAAAATATCATTGTAAACCCAGATAGAGATGAATTTCAAAATTTTCAAGAGCAATAAAGATAAGAGATGTAAATAGTAATTGGGTATAAACCCTTGCAAAGCATAGAATTTTAGTTGGAATAATCACAAAAGAAATCAATGAAAAAGAATAAACCATAACCTCACTGTCAAGTGCAAGATCTATTAAAACCATAGGGGCGAAAGAGTTTGAAATATTTTTGGTCAACCATTGAGCTAGAGGAGGTTACATAGTTTTACTCAAAAGTACTAAAACTGATCCAAATCTTTGAGACAAATCTTCAATAGATCAAAAACTACAGATTTAAAACAAAGCTTAAATGAAGAGGGTCGAAAACGTCATTTGCATCAGCTCCTTAAACTTCAGAGAATCACCTGATCAGTACAAAAATACTGTCGCACATATGAGTGAGATCTGCACAACGAATAACATAGCATGAAAGTATAATTTCAGAAAACAAAAATTTTCAGAAACATCCTTTTCAAATTGTTCAATAGGGCTATTTAAATTCAGGATATCATGTGGAGAAGAAAGATGTTTTGCCTTCCGATAAATACTTTTAGTTATGATATGAAGATGGGGAAAACCATCATTGGGCTACAAAAAGTGAGTAGAAAACTGTCACAAATCAAGATCACTTCCCACATCCTTATCCCAAGAAAACAGGTAAAGTACTAAACATGAGACCTAAATTGGTTTATAGCATGCTAAAGTGGAAAAATATTAGCTTCTAAAGAAAATGGAGGAATAAAACAAGGAAGAAGAAGAAAGGTAAAAGGAGGAAGAAAGCAAATAACTTTTATATTGAAGCTTTGAATTGAAAGAAGCAAGAGCTTCTCTCCAAAATCTTAAAACAGAATTTAAAGCATTCTATTGCACTCCCATGGATGGTTTCAAAAAGAGTGCTAAACAGCTAAAAAATGGATTGTAGTTAAATAATGTTTAGATATAAAATTGCCAAACTCTAGAAAACCTTCAACATAAGAAAGTAACAGATCAATTACATCATCCTAGGATACTAACATCAAAAAGTCAGAAAAATCATGAGTCAAGCTTAGATGTTGGAACTTGCATCTTACTATTCTGACTAATTCCAAGAACTATACGCAACACAAAAACTACAAAACTTAATTTAAACACAGGGAACCTAAAATAAGCACAAACAGAAATACATAGTTAAAACAAGTTCAATGAGTACATCATGAAAATCCCACAGCCATTACCATTCTTAAATGGAATCAGACAGCAATATTAGTTAGTGAAATCAGCCTACAACATAAGAAAAGGGATGTCTTATTGTTACAATCTAATAGTCCTGTCACCAACAGAAGTATTTCAACCAACCAATCTTTTACTCCACAAATGCCATTTTTTGTTCAATCTAAGGTCATATCCTTCTATAACAATAGCTAATATCTTCCATAGCTCAACCATTCAAAGATTAGTACGTTAGTATACATATATTAAGATAAAGCAAAAGAATAAGGAGTATAAGGAGAGTGAATCTGTACCGCATCGAGGCACTAATGCCCCATATAACCGCCAGGACCACCATACTGCCCAACCCCATGCTGCCCTCCTCTTCCAGTTCCACCCTGTCCCATATGTTGGGTTGGATATCCACCCTGCACACCACTTTGACTTCCATATCCCATCACTCCAGGGCTTATATTTGCTTGACTCCCATACCCACTTTGTACTCCAGGTCCAGCGCCTTGTATGGCTGGATTAAGCCCTGAAGTAGATCCGATTGTCCCTAACAAATTAGTCAGTCCCAACCCAGCACCCTGACCCGCCAGCAAAGCAGTAAGGGCCTGGCCAAGAGCCGGGTTCAATGCTTGTGGAGGTCCATGGTTATAACCAACACCAGGCCCTGCAGGTGCCATCAAGTGTCCCGATCCAGATGTCGCCCCACTTGCATAATTAGGATTCTTATTCCTCTGAAACGGCGCATTTTGTGTATGATGCTGGTGCTGAGACTTCCCTGGCTTGGGACCGTCGATCGCCTTCTGACAATGCAAGACATGACCCTCAAAATTTTTGTGGGGCTCCAACAATGCCTTTCTCGCACTTTCTATCGTCTTGTACACAAATAGACAGAAACCTTTAGGCTTGCCCGTCGTCTTGTCAAGCCCCAATGGTCCTTCATCAACTTCACCGAACTGGGAAAAGAAAGTGAGCAACTTCTGGGGGTCAACATCAGCTCCGACATTGCTCACATAAATCTTCCTCTGCGTATATTCGGAAGCAGGTGGTCCTTGGGGGGCTGCCACCGCACTAGACGTTGGAACAGGCCCGACCGAAGCCAACTGACAGGCAGTCATCCTATTGCCAATCTTCTTCTGGGGTTCCTTGAGAGCTTTCCGAGCCCCACTGCGCTTCTTGAAGAGGATGAAACCGTAACCCTTGGACTTACCAGAGACCTTATCACACACAGCTTTGCAGTCCTCAATCTCACCATATTCCTTAAACACACTGACCAAAGTTTCGGCATTTGTATCCCATCCTAGCCCGTGAACAAAAATCTTGCGGTGGGTCGGGTCCGCATCAGCAACCGTTCGAATCCTTTCAGCCACATCCGCATGCTTCTCCGACGCTTCGCAAAGCAGATTTATAAGCTGGTCCTTGCCGAAAGGATCCAAGAGATTGTGAATTGGCTCGTCTTCGTCGTCGTCAGAAGTAGTTGCAGCAGCGGCGGAGGAGGAGGAAATATTGGGGTCTTGATGGTGGTTATTGACATTCGCATCGCCTTCATCATCCTCGTCGTCGTCGTCGTCGTCGTCATCCTCCTCCTCCTCCTCCTCCTCCTCCTCCTCCTCCTCCCCCTCGTTATCATCGTCTTGATCGGCATCGTCTTGACCGGCATCGTCTTCTTCCTCGACCACCTCGTAATTCGAAAGATCCTCAGCAACGACTTCCTTGAGGGGTTCATTCTGGGGCTTGGACTCGTCGAGGACGGCTTGAGCTTCTTGCTGTTGGAGCTTCTTAGGAGGCTCGGAGGATTTGGAGGAGTCGAGCTTTCGCTTCCTTGCCATGGAAGAGTAGAGGAAGCTTTGACGGGGGGGGTCTAGGGTTTTACAGAGAATGAAAGAAAGCAAAGGGAAGCAGTGACGATAAGAGGATTAGGTCTTGAGATCAGAAATTGAGATTGAGAGCTTTTGTGGACCTCTGGAAATGGCGGTCCGCAATTATTTAACTCGGGCCCACTCCTTTATTATGTCACTAAATAAATATACTGCAATTTTATTGACCATGTTAGACGAACACGACTCTCCACAATAGCATGATATTGTCCACTTTGAGCATAAGCTCTCATGGCTTTGCTTTGGGCTTCCCCAAAAGGCCTCAAGAGTGTATTCTTAGATTATAAACCCATGATCATTCCCTAAATTAACCGATGTGGGACTTTCATCATCCAACACCTCCCCTCGAACAAAGCACGCCTCCCCTTAATCGAGGCTCGACTCCTTTGGAGTCTTAGTCATTTTTGACTGCCTTCGTACCTTCGAGGAGGCTTGACTCCTTTTAGAGTCCTTTGTTCGACATTTAAGGATTTGCCAATCTATTGACACGGCTAAGTTTAGGGCATGGCTCTGATACCATGTTAGACGAACACGACTCTCCACAATAGTATGATATTGTCCACTTTGAGCATAAGCTCTCATGGCTTTGCTTTGGGCTTCCCCAAAAGGCCTCAAGAGTGTATTCTTAGATTATAAACCCATGATCATTCCCTAAATTAACCGATGTGGGACTTTCATCATTCAACAGACCAATCAATAGTTAATCACTTATTCATGTTCTATAAGATAAGCTAGGCTTAATTTTGTTGGATCAGTACGACCCAGCTCAATAGGGTTTTAACGATAAAAGTTTAATTTTTTTGAGTAGAAAATGATAATTAATAAAATAAAATAGTTTTAACGTCAAAATAGTTTAATTTTGTTGGATCGTTACTTACTGAGGTGGAAATAAGAAAAAAAATGTAAAATTAAAAACATTTAAACACGTGCAAGCACTTTGAAATTTGATAAGACATCAAACTGTTAAAATACATGAATAAATCAATCCAAACAAGTTTCATGTTAGCTACACTTACTTCGTAGCGGGAGGACGTAGTCGAGTCGGGCTATAGAGAACTTGTTATTTGTAAGCACGAGTTTAACTTAAGCACACATGTCATTCTCATACATAAACATGTTAAAATCATTAAATAATCTGAACTAGCAAAAATGTCAAGTTTTTTACTTACCTTTTCCATTAACTTGATCGTTGATCAGTTAAAAAGTCAGTTCAATAGACTTGGAGAGGATAATGGATAAGAATCATGATGTTATAAATATTTCAACTAGACCTATTACACAATTCTAAGGTCAAGAAGATTCAACAAGTATTCATTCTTCATCTACAAAATTAGATAGACTCGATCCAACCTTCATTTCATGTCTTACAAGATGATTCGATTAAGGAAGAACCATTTAGAGCTTTTGAAGTGAATACTTGTACCGTTAGAGTGGGGGATGGAGTTGCTACAAATAGCATTTGATTGATAACTTATTTGCAAACTTTATTTATTATTTTAATAACAGCAAAAGAATGCAAAGTTACTTGTCTTTTGTGGACATTTGAAGGGCAGTGGAGAGTAACTTATCAATCATGACAGGGCATATTTTTTTAGGAAGGAAATTAAGCTATCGAGTGACTTTTACCCTTACAAATTTGAGTATAATCTTTGTCATTTCTAAATTTCGAACCATTCTTGTTGTAGATTGCATCTGAAGTTATTTAATCAAGCATTAATCAAGTTAGATTACAAAGTAACTCAGTTTAGAACAAGGTTTATTCTAATTCTAGTCTTATCTCTTGGTTGATCCAAATTTTGTACGAGGAAGTCTTAATTTCTTTCATTCAAGGGTTCTTGCTTCAACAAAAACAAAAGCGTGTATAGTTGAGCTGAGGATTAGGGTTGGCTTCCCTTACGTGGATATGCACTTGTTTCTCGTCATAAGCTAAGTCATCTCTTAAGAAAAGTGTCTCATGTTTAATGATGTGTGAGGGATCCGTAGTGTACTTTCACAGCATTGAGACATGGAATGATGTATGAGGGATCCGTAGTGTACTTTCACAGCATTGAGACATGGAATATATTATGCTCGACAAAGATGTTAGGTGACAATGCTAATTTGTTGGCCACCAATTCAACCTTTTCCAAATTATAAAAAGGACAATTGAAGCCCGAACTTAACTTGCCCTTCTTTCCAAACTTGAGCACTCTCAAGAGTGCTATCTTAAAAAATACATTGAAGGTCTTTCGGTCGCGAATATGCATAGTTTTTCTACCCTAAACCCTAAACCAATTTCTAAACTATTGGTTGGTGCTTGAATCCTTAACTTGATCTTCTAAACTATTGGTTGGTAGCATGAACCAATTTCAACCCTAGTAGCTGTTGTTTGTCCATCTATCTAAGGATAGAATGACGTAATGAACCTAAGTCGTGTGACAAATGCCTTTTAGAGGCTTTTCCCAAAATGAGATGTGAGACTTGCATCTTGGTCTGATGCTGTGAAAGCTAATACATCTTGAAGTTGAATTATCTCCACTATGTACACTAAACCCATTTGTTGATTGACTATGTTGTCTTTCCAGAGATGAAGTGAGCTGACTTAGTCAACTTGTCGATGATGACTCATATCACTATGAATCCTTTCTTAGTTTTGAGCAACCCTTAGATGAAATTCATGGCTATCTTCTCCCACTTCCATTGGGGAATGCTCTAGAGTTGTCTTAAGGTAATCTTAGGTCCGTTGTCTCAGCACCTTTATCTGTTGGTATGTCAAACATCGACTCACATGTTTTGCAACGTCATGTTTTATTTCTTTCCACCAATAATACGATATTAAATTATGGTACATCTTTGTGCTCCCCAGGCGGAATGCGTAAGGGGGAGTCATGAACCTCAAGCAATAACTCTTTTAAGATCACCTCTTTCTTAGGGAGGCATAATTGACCTACTAAAGCAAACTATCGTATGATGAAATCAAGAACCCTTTGGGTCAGTCTACCGCTTGTTGTAGTAGGATCTTGCTGAGGTATGAGTCGATTCCTTGACCATTTATAATATGCTTCCTTAAGGTGGGTTGGATTGTTAACTGAACCAATTGTGCCATGGCACCCTAGACAATGACTTCTATCTCAACTCTTTGGATATCTTCTTGTAGCTCCTTTAGAATCATAATCAATGCATATAAGTGAATCGTCTTCCTACTTAGTGTGACAGCTACAACGTTTGCTTTACCTGGATGGTAGAGAATTTCTATGTCACAATATTTTACCAATTTCAACCATCTTTGTTACCTTATCTTAAGTTCCTTTTGCGTAAATAGACACTTAAGACTTTTATGGTCAATGTATACTTATATCTTCTCCTCATACAAGTAGCTTTGTCATATCTTAAGTGCAAATGCTACTACTACTGGCTCTAAGTCACGAGTCGGGTAGTTACCCTCGTACTCCTTGAGATGCCTAGAGGCATACACTATTACTTTACCATTCTACCATATGAATCCTAGATCCTTTTTGTTTCTTTGTGTTAGTTGTTGCTAAGTAAATTATCGATTTTTCAATTTGTTGGGTAAGTAAATTGTTTGTGTCTTAGAATAAGACAATTTGGTTGAGTGATCTAAGATGCCTAGATTTAGGCTTTGTTTTTGTCTTATAGTAGTTGAGTTGTCTAAGGCACTAGAATTAGGCTTTGATTTGAAAGGGCATGGGTTCAAATCCTAAAGTTGTGTCACTATTTATTATTATCTATAATTTTTTCGATCTCTACGATCTTCAAGTGTTAGTGTCGGCCTAGCAGGCTAGGATTTAACGACGAACTTAAAAAGCCACCTACAAACACTCTAGATAATGCTTACATCCTCTGTATTATTGTAGCAACTGACATAGAGTTAGCCGATGCTTATTCCCCAGATCCATCATAGCTTCTTCTATGCAAAAACAAGTTCACGACTCGTAGGCCTTCTACCTCCACGCGACATTGCTCTGTTAGGCATTCGGTTATGACGATTTGGCCAAATGGTCTAAGGTGCCAGATTTAGGCTTTGGTCCAAAAGGGTGTGGGTTTAAATCTCTCCGATGTCATTTTCTATGCTCATATCTTAAACAAGTATATGCGTATAATTTTTTGGTTTCTTGATTTGTTGAATAAGTAAATTATTTGTGCCTTATAGTATGACAATTTGGCTGAGTGGTCTAAGGCGCCAAATATAAGCTTTGGTTTGAAAGGGCATCCCACATTTGCCATTAGCTATAATTTTCTATGCCCATATCTTAAACAAGTATATGCATATAATTTTTTGCTTTGTTCTAGCGAGTAGGTAAGTGAACTATCGACTTCTCATTTGTTGAATAAGTAAATTATTTATACCTTATATTATGACAATTTGGCTGGGTGGTCTAAGGCGTCAAATTTAGGCTTTTTGGTCCAAAAGGGCGTGGAATCAAATCTCACCGTTGTCATTATCTATAATTTCTATGCCCATATCTTAAACAAGTATATGCATATAATATTTTGCTTTGTTCTAATGGTTGGGTAAGTAAGTAATTTGTGTCTTATTGTATGACAATTTGGCCAAGTGGTCTAAGGCGCCAGATTTAGCCTCTGGTCCGAAAAGGCATTGTTGGGTAAGTAATTTGTGTCTTATTGTATGACAATTTGGCAGTCTTATTGTATGACAATTTGGCCGAGTGACTCTAGTCCGAAAGATTATTTGTGTCTTTAGTCTGGTCTAAGGCATAAGTAAATTATCGATTTTTTACCGATCCAATTTTGTGAGCTTCCATCGTTTTAGGTGTCAAAGATACAGTCATCCACCGTCACTTTAGCCATAGCATCTTCTTAAATATTCGAAAAGAAAAATGATATGTAATTCAATATGTAATGAGGATCGAGTACCACTACTATGAATATCAACTTATTAATTCCTTCCAATGAGCTCCAATATTTGTCTCACTCAACTTTCATATTTGAACTCATGTTACTTAAAACAGAGTTCACATTTGTACTCCACTGAATTGAAAGTTCTCGAATATCCCAAAGTTGATGAAAATAAGAATTAGAAGTCACATCATAGAAAACCTTCAAAAACTTTGCAACCACTGCAACGTTTTTTCAATCATCAATGA